CATCTGACAGAGAGACAAGAAACCAACAGTCTGCATTCAAATTAGTCAGATCTGTCAAACGGATGCACATGCAACACTCAAGTTCTGAAAAAAGACTGCAGTCCAGAAGTGGACGAGCAACCAGAACTTTCCGCCAGAGTTTACAGCTGGTGAATGCGAAGAAGAAGAAAAAGAAGAAGAAGAAGAAGATCTCACTAACAATGTTTTCTTTGCGTCAGTGCCAATCTGTCTGTCTGTCTGTCTGTCTGTCTGTCTGTCTGTCTGTCTGTCTGTCTGTCTGTCTGTCTGTCTGTCTGTCTGTCTGTCTGTCTGTCTGTCTGTCTGTCTGTCTGTCTATATGTCTGTCTGTCTGTGTGTCTGTCCGTCCGTCCTTCCATCCGTCCGTCCGTCTGTCTGTCCCTCCGTCCATCCACCCACCCATCCATTTATTCATTCGTCCGTCCATCTGTCTGTCTATAGATAACACCTTTACTTTTATGTGTATAGATGCTGTCACTTTACTTGTCAATTTTTTAAAGTGTTGTTGTTGTTGTTGTTGTTGTTGTTGCAAATCTCACCATGGATCGTAAGTGCTTGCTTTTAATCATATGCATCAACTCCAGGAGCTCCCTCACACAAGTTAGGAAATCAGCGAAGTCACTTTCTATCTTCAGCAACAAATCTCTGGTGTAAAAAATTTGTTTATGATATGTCACGATGTATTAATTATAAATGTCAGACATGAGATAAAAGCAGAAAAGCCAACCTACTATAAAAATCTCCGCGCGAGGATGCACACGGAAATCTAGATCTATCAACTGAACGTACACCCAAAACCAGTGAATCAGTTCATCTCTCCCCCCACTCTGCTCTACTATCTATAATCCTTACGTCCTTTTTAGGATGAATTTTTTTTGTTATTTGAAGCCCTACCCTGGTTTTGCCAGGGGCCGCAATATAGGCAGGCCATAAATATGGCCAATTGTCTGAACGTGGTTTCTGGGACCTCTCCACTGTGATCCTCGTCCGCATGGTGGCACTTTGTGTCATCGGGTGTTTATCGCCTGTGTGATGTCCTGGTGGGGTAGAAAGTCAGCCAGTCAGTCTGCTCTACTTACGTTGCACTGAGAACACTAGTGTACGGTTCAGCAACATAAAGTCGGGACTACAAGTTTCTAGTGTCACTGCCGCCGACCAGAGAAGGAAGTTTTTCCCTCCTGCGCCGGGCCTTATTGCAACTTTTCGACTCGCTGGCCACTTTATGTGAGTTTGAATCTGCAAATCTGCCAGTTTTAGCTCGCAAATGTAGCCAAACCTTTATTGCTGTAGCAAGCTAACAACCCACTCCACCAGCTTGTTACAAATAGTTAGTTAGCCGACAGATTATCCTCACTGCACATCAAACCATTAAGTACGTGCTTAGACCCTCTCCTCATTCCGCAGCGTGTAGCGGCTGATGACACCAGTCCTGTGTTGGTTTCTTATTTCCTCCCAAGTGCTCTTGTCTGACCACAGCCCTTTCAATACGCTATTCTTCCAGTCTGGTCATGGTTGCAGATTCACAGTGATCACCTGCTTCTCGCAAACATCTCACTTTTCGCAGAGCATTCAGTATATTAGCAAAGTCCATGGCACGTCCAGCCGCCATGGGAGCTTTACCTGCAAGCCGATTTCTTTGTAGGCATGTGTGCCTTTGCACGATTATGAATATGAAATTGAAATGCGTCAGCCCCGCTGTTAGTTATAACTGTTTACTATTTATTACAAATAAGCCACTCGCTTTGACGCCTGTAACAAAGGGAAGAAAAAAAAATGCATTCGCTGCAGGCTTACACATCTGCAGAAACAGGAACACATGAAAGCTACCAGTTACCAGTACTACGATCCTAGCTGCGCACGCATACTCTCAACAGCGAGTGACGAGAAGGAAAATATTACGCATTACTCTCCTCAGTGTAATCGTTACCTGCTAACGCTTACATGTTCAAATTGATCACGTTTCACCATTGAACGAAGACTATCAGGCTAGCAGTCGAGTTCCAACTTCATGGCAAACAAATCCCTCTATAATTAATCTCTTCCTGTGCCAGGGAAAATGACACAAGATGTCAAACAAGAAAAGTCAAAATGACAGCAGTCCCGGCAAAATACAGCAGCGCACGCGCGCATTAAATGTATAAGACAGCCGCTAAAAGAGCAATCATCTACAGTCTGTCACCAGAATTACTGTTTATGCTTGATGGAAGCAGCAGTCATACAAACCAGCAGATGCACAAGCATTGCTGCATAAGACACATCCCAGTACTGTGATTACCAGCCCCTGGTCATTTTCTCAATATGCAGTTTACAACACATATCCCCGGGAACATATACAATAATTATTCCCAATGTAATTGTCAGCTTACGAGGTCACACCATGCATCTAATTCATCGTCATTACCTCGTATATTGTTTAACCAATTCCCCCCCCCCCCCCCCTTTTGTGGGATGATGCACTATTTCGGAAAGTGGCGGAGGTGGGAACTGTGTGAGGGGGCGGCTTAAAACTATGAAATGTACCATAACAGTCAACTTCCCCCCCCCCCCCTCACCTCCTTACCCTCAGCCCCACCTCTTCCACTGCCATCAATACACATGATATTGGCCATATTTCTCTGCATCGGCCGCGAAACCCCCTGGGAAGTGCACGCGAAGCCGTAAGTGCTCAGCGGAGCACTGGACGACAACCACTGCTCTAAACCATAACATATAAGATGGTGTATCAGTTTTCTCTCTTGTCGCCTTTTTTTTTTCTTCCCAAAACATTCAAGAAATTGTGTGGTATATGTTTTTTTGTTTTTTTTTGTTTACTGGTCGGAAAAGAAGATCCTGCTACAACATCTAGGGATTGAGTCCAGATCATTGTCTCAGCCGGTAAGTGTACTAACCACTATAAATACCATTGCAGCAAATAAGCATAGCAACTCTAGTTCAGAACTACAGAGCACGACTTTTTTCCTTTAGAATAATAATAAAAAAACAAAAGCAAAAACAACTAGAGTTGCATAATAGCAGGAATTAAAAGTTAAAATCAAAAGAATCAACTTCACTACACTGATGCTCCTTACACCCCCCCCCCCTCTTTTTCCGTATGGATCGATCCCTCTCCTCTCCAGCCGCCTATCGAGAGTGTAGCACCCTCTTCTCGTCTTCTTCCGTTGATTCAATGAATTATGAATTAATTCAGTAACAGAAAGTATATTGATCGGCACTCATAGAAAGAAGTAGAAAGATAGAAGAACACACTAGACAACATAAAATCGAAAGCTATAGTTACCGTGCCGGGAATTGAACCTGTCACCTCCAGACGGCGTCTGCGCCTCGCCATGAATACAAGTGCACTAAGAACATGGTCAACTAGGCTCCCCTGTTTATTTATTGATTTAATGAAGCGTTGACACTCAGCTATATCTCGCAAAGTCATCCTTTCTTTTGCCAGCTTCTGCAAGCCTCCGTGATCTCTCTATGGCCTTTGGGAGCGAATGAACAGAGCAGAGGAACAAACAAATAATTACTGTCTGAGGAGAATGACGCTGTGAGGAGTTATCAGGGGATCAGGCCGAGGCTCAACACTCAAGGGACATTTGAGACGGATAAACAATCAGACTCTTACTGGTGCCATCAGAATTTGAACTCTTCGCTTGCTGCTGAAGATGGGAGCGAATCGCTTATCGGAGTGTCCATAGTGCTATGATTTCGATTCCTATTGAAACATTTCCTATTGCATTCATCATAATATGTAATTTAAATCCCAAGGTTTTTATGTCTTCCTATATTACTGTCACCCCGTGGGCTCCAGTGTCAAGAACATAATAATATACTAATATAATGTTTCAAAAGCAACTAAAAGCAACAAATTACGTACGGTTGCTCTGCCACTTCAATGGTGTCAGGGATGTAAACAACGCCAGGTATAAAAGTTGGCTCGGTGGGTTTTTTCTGATGATATAAATTTATATTATACTAGCAAAGTAAAACAGGTGCAATATTTTATTATTGTTTTCATAGTCGTAAAAACAAAATTAAAAAATACTTAGTGGCATATCCTAAACAGGGCTTGAAAGCCCATCCCAGCATTTGTTGGCTGTTTGCCATTTTATTGTGCAATTTTACTGTCAGTAGTTTAATACTGATTTACTGATCGGCTCTCCATGCCATTGTTATGATCAACGCAAGCGATATTTTAATGTTGCCAAACTGCTTTTAGTAGCATTGCTTATTTCAAAATAATAGGTACATATAATGAACATGCCCTCCCCCCCCCCAATCTCGCCGGGCTCGAGATTTCGTGTGGGCTCTCCTTTTTGCCGTTGTCGTTCCCACGGGCTGTCCACGACCGGCTCAATATGTAATTAAAATAGCCTGGAGAGATTAAGGCACCTGTGTGTAACCAGAGGGTCTGGCCGGCTCCCTACACTCAGAGGAAAGGCAAGACGGACTTTTAACCAGATTGTGACCGGTACCATCATTATTGGAACTCTGTGTTAGCTGCTGAAGATGAGGATGGAGCATGCATGGGAATACCCTGAGTGCTGTGGTGTCAGTTGCCAACTCAACTCAACGCAACTTAATAGCTAAAGTCGGACGTGGGCTGTCCTATGTGCTAGGTGGGTTAGCAAAAGTGTTATTTCCCTTTCGCCGCCTATACACACCGTGCGGAAAACCGGCTCCTGTTCTCCCGAGGCGACGAAAGTGATCCGCTCTCCTTCGTGCCAGGCGTCACTGAGCGATTGTTTCTGTGCGTGGGCGAGTGTTTATTTTTTTTTTCTCCGTCAACACGTCTCTTGTGCAACCGCCACTGGTTTGAAAATGGATGACGTTTTGGGGCTGGCCATAAAAGGAGCCATTTGCGGCGGTGGGGCCTGTAAGTCAGATGCGAGTTTTGAAGCCACGTACCATGCCTGAGTGCGATGTCCTGTCGACAGTTCGAACGGTGACATCTCACATTGTCCTGACTCTCGGTGAAGTGACAGCGCCCTTAGACCACAGAATCAACTTTGACAAATACCATCCTGGTTACTTTGGTAAAGTGGGTATGAGATACTACCACAAGACCTTAAACAAATTCCATTGCCCATCCATCAATGTGGACAAGCTGTGGTCCCTTTTGAGTGAACAGTCTAGGGCCAAATATCTGGACCTAGTTTCTGAGAAGGCTTCAGTTATTGATGTAGCACAGGCTGGTTATTACAAGGTTTTGGGCAAAGGTCACCTGCCCAAGAGACCTGTGATCGTAAAGGCCAAGTTTTTCAGTAAAGTTGCCGAAAGGAGAATTAAGGAAGTTGGCGGTGCCTGTGTACTGATTGCTTACAGTCTTCAATAAACACTTGTTAACTTATAAAAAAAAAAAAAAAAAAAAAAAAAATCATTCTTAGAACAACCTCTCGCTGTCAACAAGGTGCCATGTTGCTGCAAAAAAAAGCAACAATACTCTAATTGTGCTCACCAATGCTGACATTTGAAGGACATTCATCTCGAAGTTCAAGTCACCTATTAAGGCGGCAATGATAGCGATAAAGAGCCAGCTCACAACGCTGTAACATACAGTGGCTGCCGCTCACCAGATGGAACATATAACATTCTGGCCGCATACGACGGAGAATATAGAGTGCTTACAATGTTGAAAAAAAAACACAACGCGACACCCCTAGAACACAGGACAGCTCGTGGGAACGGCCATGGCATGAATAAGAGCCACTACAAAATCTCGCACCTTGTGAAATGAGGGCATGTTCGTGATATATACCAAACAATATTCCTGGAAAACCGGAGACGGAGAATTTACTTCGACTGCACACTTACTTGCAAGAATGATGATGATGATGATAATGATGATGATGATCAAGTGCCTTGCCGACTGACACAGGCGCCCATGCCTCCCCAGAACTAAGGATCACCAACATGTATCAGTTTGTGTGGTTACACATGTTGATTGCATGACAAAAGGCTATCAAGTATCTTGTCGCGCTCTCTTCCTCTTAGCTTCACAGCCAACACGTTCAAATCCTCTATGATGTCGATTTGCAAAATCTGATCCGGGTTACCAAGTGGAACCAGTCTAAAACGGATACACTGAAAAATCCTTAGAAGTAAAGATGGAAAGTATTGTACTGACCCCACCAGCCGTTAAATGCTGATTGGCTTATGCAAAAATTGTGTTAATACCAGTGCCCTCTTACCGCTTGGGCCACTGGGCACTTGTTTGAGGGCATCATGAACAAAGGGGTTCAGTGCTAAGCTGTGTTTGACGTGTGGCTTGCCATAATTACACATTTCTTTCATGTGAGGGGTTGGCGTAAGGGACCAAGCACACCGGTTTGCCAAGAGGTCCCTAATGCTGTAAAGACGGCTCAGACATATACCCAATATGCTTCACGACGTTTAAACTTGTCCTTAACTCTCTGAGCCCCAAACAATGCCCCACGTGTGACAGAATGCACTCATATACAGCATCATCATCAAGTTCCTTGCCAGCTGGCGGAGGTGTTCGTGCATCTCCTCAGATTTCGCTCTTTGGTGTTCTGGATCAATTCCACTTATGATATTCCTCCATACCACTGTCTTAAGCCATCCACCATCGTTTCTTTTGATCGCCTCTGCCTCTTCTACCAGTGATCTTTCCAGTCGACACGATATTTTCCAATGCTCTTTTTTCTCATCACATGACCAAAGAACTTTGTTGTCTCCGTCTAAATATTGTTTATAATGTTCTTCTTTCGTTAGCCATATCCAGGCAATCATTGTTGGTTATTCTGGTAGTCCAAGGTATTCACACCACTCTTCTCAACAACATCTCAGTTGCCCTAAAACTCTTTTCGGTGTAGCAGGCTGACGGCAGCCTGTTTACAACTTTGGTTTGACTGCATTTACGGAATAAATCTGGCAGGTTCACGGTGGCCATAATAGGCCGATGAACCGGAAAACCGGTCTCTGTTGTTCTTAGCCCTCCACATTCTGATCTCACCTGCCGCCATAGGGACAGGTCGTCCCATCCATCGGCGTAGCGTAACAGCAAATGGTTTTCGCGCTACATGTGTTTAGTGGACTGAGCGGAGATAGATAGATCGGCTCACGCATCTGATTTCCGTTTTAAATAGTTAGATGGTATTAGATATTAAATTTTCCACAGAAGAGACATTTTGTTAAAATCTAGATATCAGTTGTATTATTGCTCGAGAAATTTGTTTGAGGTCGCGGGAAATGAACTGTCAACTTTATTAGCTTAAATGCTTAGCACATGGTTTGTGTGGACATAATGCTGATTGGTAATGTGTTGTTATATATGTGAAGCAAGTTAATCTTGTATTTAGAAAAATAGACAAATTTTGAATGTGATGGATATATTTATTTGCTTGATTCAGGATATAACTTGTAGTTCATGCACGAGGTATGACTAGGCGTTGCCTGTGTAGTCATTTTTTGTTGTTGTATAACTCAGCTATTCACATATTCATTGCCTGGGTTATGAACATATTTCATGGCCCATGCACATTAGAACTCTTGTATTTTCTTTACTTTTCCTGTTTTTGCAGTTCAGAGGAGAACTACTTAATATCCTAATCATATTTTTATCGACTCTCCTCCTACTTATTTTTCTCTTTTCTCTTCCCGTTAGCATAATAATTACTCATCACATCTCAAATATTATTATACGTGTACATTATATGTGGTGAGACAGGCATAGTAAAACATCAATAAACAAGACTCATACAAGGGTTGGGTGTTTAGCTCTGTTGGATGTAGTTTACCCATGCTTTTATAGCTGTTATTACTGCTTTATTTAGTCATCAGCTAGAACCGTTTAGGGCTGAAATAATTGACTTTTTTTTTTCCCTAAGACTCCATTTCTTCTTCTCCTCCACCTCATCGACGGTTTTACGGAAGATGTGCCTATCGTCTGTGTTCTTCTTCTAATGCGTTGTGCAAACTGATTTTCATTTTTCACTATCCTTTCTGTGAGATTATTTACTAATGTTGCAATTATTACAACATGCACTGTTGTTCTGAATTTAACTTTGTTGGTGTCCAGTATTTCACATTTCTCTTTAGCTAGTTCTGTGTAAGTGTATTCTTCTATTTGTTTTTAAAGATTTATCTTGACACTGTGTTCTGTGTGTGATTATGATAGTGATCCTATCTAGTCTGGAGGCTAACCAGTAGTGAGGAAGTCTGTGCAAGTTTTGCCCAGGAATATGATTAATTCTGAGGCGCCTATAATTTAAGTTGCCTCATCTCTGAAGTGAGGTTCGATGGTGGTTGGAGCTGCGGAGTACCTCTAGACCAACACGAGACTGCATCTCAACATGTCACTCCAGAGTGTCCATTAGTATTAGGGGTAACTCTAATAAAGACTCGTGACACCATTGTCTAGTGACAAGAAAGATAAATGGATGGATGGATATTTAGACAGACAGACAGACAGACAGACAGACAGACAGACAGACAGACAGACAGACAGACAGACAGACAGACAGACAGACAGACAGACAGACAGACAGATAGACAGACAGATAGATAGATAGATAGATAGATAGATAGATAGATAGATAGATAGATAGATAGATAGATAGATAGATAGATAGATAGATAGATAGATAGATAGATAGATAGATAGAGAGAGAGAGAGATAGAGAGAGAGATAGAGAGAGAGATAGATAGATAGATAGATAGATTCGATAGATAGATAGATAGATAGATAGATAGATAGATAGATAGATAGATAGATAGATAGATAGATAGATAGATAGATAGATAGATAGATAGATAGATAGATAGATAGGTAGATAGGTAGATAGGTAGGTAGGTAGGTAGGTAGGTAGGTAGGTAGGTAGGTAGGTAGGTAGGTAGGTAGGTAGGTAGATAGATAGATAGATAGATAGATAGATAGATAGATAGATAGATAGATAGATAGATAGATAGATAGATAGATAGATAGATAGATAGATAGATAGATAGATAGATAGATAGATAGATAGATAGATAGATAGATAGATAGATAGATAGATAGATAGATAGATAGATAGATAGATAGATAGATAGATAGATAGATAGATAGATAGATAGATTAGATTAGATAGATAGATTAGATTAGATAGATAGATTAGATAGATAGATAGATAGATAGATAGATAGATAGATAGATAGATAGATAGATAGATAGATAGATAGATAGATAGATAGATAGATAGATAGATAGATAGATAGATAGATAGATAGATAGATAGATAGATAGATAGATAGATAGATAGATAGATAGATAGATAGATAGATAGATAGATAGATAGATAGATAGATAGATAGATAGATAGATAGATAGATAGATAGATAGATAGATAGATAGATAGATAGATAGATAGATAGATAGATAGATAGATAGATAGATAGATAGATAGATAGATAGATAGATAGATAGATAGATAGATAGATAGATAGATAGATAGATAGATAGATAGATAGATAGATAGATAGATAGATAGATAGATAGATAGATAGATAGATAGATAGATAGATAGATAGATAGATAGATAGATAGATAGATAGATAGATAGATAGATAGATAGATAGATAGATAGATAGATAGATAGATAGATAGATAGATAGATAGATAGATAGATAGATAGATAGATAGATAGATAGATAGATAGATAGATAGATAGATAGATAGATAGATAGATAGATAGATAGATAGATAGATAGATAGATAGATAGATAGATAGATAGATAGATAGATAGATAGATAGATAGATAGATAGATAGATAGATAGATAGATAGATAGATAGATAGATAGATATATAGATAGATAGATAGATAGATAGATAGATAGATAGATAGATAGATAGATAGATAGATAGATAGATAGATAGATGGATGGATAATAAACCCACCTCCTGGGCAGCCATGGTGGCACCAGCTGAAATACTTTACAACTTCAGTTTTCTGTAAGACTGGGACAAATCAGCCGGGAAAGAAGTAAATACAACGTTCCGTCAATGCTCATTGGCGTCAGCTGTCATAGCAACAACAGCAGGAAGACAAGCAAATTATGGATCGGCGCTTACGGAGTACCCGAAATAAAAATGTGGTTGGATTATGATAATCATTTTCCATCCATCTTCTTGAGCGCATGTTCATTGTGCGTTCTTACCTGTTTGTTGAATCCATAATTGACATCATAACACTCTGGACACCCACATAAGCGCTCCGCCCCCACCTTCAGCAGCAAACGAAGAGTTCCAATTCCCATGGCACTAGTCACTGCCTCATTGTATATCCTTCTTGCCGCTCCCTTGAGTGTTGAGCGTCGGCCAGATCCCCCTTGTAAC